CTACAAAATGCAGTGTGAACCAAGTACTAGTACTGGTGCAAGTAGGCGGCAAAACATTAAAGGCAGATCCATTGGTGGATCCTCAGGGAATGTGTCAGCATGACCTTGGGAAATGCCATGTACGTCCCCCTTTGGGAAACGCTAACACTGACCGTGTGGTCAGTGTTAGCGTTTGGTTTCGTTGGTTTGGAAACCCCACACACGTCCAAAGGGGGACGTGTGTGGGGTTTCCCAAGGGTATGCGCTTCCTTTAATTTCTTCCCAAGACTCCAATTATAGCCTCAAACAGCAAAGCCTTCCTTCTTTACAAATGCGGACTTCCCCCGCATTTGTTCCTCCCATGTTCCTCTCTTTAACTTCCCCTGTAACTCCCCCCATTTGCCGGGCTACAGGAATTTCATTCTGAGCTTTCGTGTCAGTTTCGTCCATTTCGTGTTCACACTCCTCACATTCAGGAATGTATAAGTTTTGTGCACCTATCCGGCCAATGCACCTTAGTCTCTAATGCAGAACTCATGCACAAGACTGAATTGCCAAAGCTTAAAGGGACAATGAAGGCAATTTCTGATATTTTTTTTTTGACAATTGAACTGGGTTTCAGGCACGTCTTAGGCCACATTGCCCAAATTTCAGCCGAAACTGGCGCTTGTGTGCCGCGCAAATCAATTAAACAGTCGCGGTAATAATCATATCGGGATCGACTGGGGCAACACCCCGAGAGTTGCGGGAGAAGCCAGGAGAAGCGGACCTCACATGACCGATGCCGGGCCAAGAAGCACGACGTCACAAGAGACGCGTCAGCGATTGGTCGAAATGAGAGACGTGCCGTCGGTCACGTTTTGGTTCGCAGTTTTTAGGAATACTATTCTAATTTCAGCTTGAATAACCATGAAAAGTGTAAATCGGACTGGAGAGGATTACTAAATCGTAAATAAACCAGCATAATTGTTTTTTTCTTTGCTACGCTGGACGCGAAACGGGCAACGAGCAACTATGGGCAAACAAAATAAAAAAGAACACGGCGCGGAGCACGCTGGAGGCGTCATGTCATGTTTACTTTAAGAACACGGTACTCGAAGGATTCTGCGAAGTGGTAGTCATGCCAAACGGTCGACTGAAGACCAATAATCATTCTTGTTCTTTGACGACGAAATGAGTGGACGTCCGACTCCGGTGAAAGCAAAAATGGTGCTGTTTATTTTCTCCTTCTTGGGGAGCGTCCCCCGCGGAGGAACCAGTTCCCGGGTCGCTATCGCTTTCCCCTCGGCATCTCCCCCGTGTCCCTGTCAGACAGGGACAGGGCCTGTCCTTCGGCAACGCCGCCGCTCTCATCTCTCCCGCGCGAATGTTACTCACAGCTTTGCTGCCCGGAGCCAGCGGGCCGCTCGTTGCCGGCTGGGCGGTCACCGTCGGGTGATGGCGAAGAACGCCACACACATACTCTCGTTCCGTTGGTGTTAGGTCACTGAACAAAAGCCCGAACCGAACTCGCTCGCGAGAGCGGCATTGTCGTCCATGTTGACAGATCCAACGAAACGATCGCACCACCGCGGTGCTATAACCCACCGCGGTAACCAGTCTCGATCTCCTAAATGCTACCAATACCGACTATTCACACTTGACGTCGCTCCTTACGTCACCTCCGTTTTCGGAGGCCCAGAAATGAGAATGGAGATAGTTCAGTTTCGGTTTCTTCATTTCTTTTGTTGGCACAGAAATACGCGTCACAAATGTCTACAGAAAATTGGGCAGCGTGCTAGGTTCCCAAGAAGCCGAAAAACACCATTTAAAAAAATTAATTAAAATCGTCTTCATTGTCCCTTTAACCACGGTACCCGTTGCCCCCTCACCACTTGGGATGTACGGCTGAGGGAGAGGAGAGAACGCCGAGCTCTGGTTGGTATGATAGCAGCCTTTGTCTCCACTGCACTCGTCCACCGAACGCTGGTGTTCGGCTCTTGCATTCCAACGCGTTTAATGTCTGCCTACACTGCGCTCGCCGAGCGCATTAGATTGTGGAACACTGGCATCCGGCGTTTGGCTCTCGTATTGGAACGCATTCAACAAAGGCTTCAGGTCTCCAGGTTCAACAGGATTCAACATTCTCCTGCTCTCAGTGCCTCCAAGTTTTTAGTGCCTTGTGTTTAATAATGGCAGAGTCCCTTTTCACCATTTATAATATTCCTTTAGTGTTTCTTTTCTTCGTTAATCCACACTCCCAGATTCTGGTGTCTGCCATTCCTATTTCCGTGTTCTGCCTTTTTAAAGGGTCTCCTTCCATGTTAAAAAATCCCCATTTTGTTCCACTGAACCTTCCTTGCCATAGATCCCAAATAATTTTCTGCAAATCATCAAGGTTACCTGCTAAGAGTACAATTTCATCCTGCCAATTTCTGCTTCTGATTTCTACCCCATGGTTTGCAACTGCAGGGGTGGTCCACTTGTGCCATTTTGATAAACTCCTGCTTGCCTACGCCTTGCTACGCCCAAAGGAGAAAATTGTGCCAAACTGTGCAAAAGTGAACAAATCTGCAAACGCAATAATACTTAAAAAACAAGCGAGCTGGTGATGATTCATGGTGTTGTGTTTCATGGTGTTGTGTGATTCATGGTGTTGTGTTCGTCCCCTTCTGTGCTCCTGAGTCTCGGGTTTTATTACCATGAATCTGCAAACGCATTGATTTTTTAAAGAGTTTTCATTTTCGTCTGGCAACTATGGGAATTCATTGTCGTTTGGTCATCACAATCCAATCCAGGTTTCCGGTTCCACAACATTTTCGCGGGTTTCACACCAATTTTATCGACATTCTTAACGCAGCGCAGTTTTAACATTTTTAGTTGCATTTCGAAGCAGACTACTGTAGATTAGCGAGCACATTTTTTTTTTTCCTGTGTGCTCATGTTTGGAAGCAGTACACTGTTTTATAGGAATGTGCTCGCACATGGTTTCTATTTCATTAGCATGCTCGGTCTTGACTGCTTGGTTACAAATTGTTGCCTTTTTTCACATCAAATGATGTGAATCCTTGATCACACTAGTCGTTAAAATGTAAAACTAAGGAAAACCCAGAATATTTTTATTCAATATTTATCTGTTTCACATGAGAAGACTTTTTATTGTGTCAACTTTCCTCAATCCAGAGAAAGGGTCTCCAAACCTCGGCCCGCAAAGGCGCTTCGTCCGACCCACAGATGTTTGCAGTCTTTCCAGTGATGCCCAGCCTGCGGCCCACTGCTACAAATGCAAAACTAAAAATGCGTAAAAAAAAAAAAAGCAGCATTTTGGCGCAAGCCAAGATATAAAAAACAATGCGAAAATCTGCATCATAACATGGGTTCTTTTGCCAAATATGATCTGTGTCATACCTTGCATATTCTCATCATCAGATCTAGCATTATCATCAGTCTTCTGCCCCGTATCAAAGGAGCTGTGCAACGATTTTAACGTGGAAAGAGTTGGCATCTTTTATTTTTTGACATTGTTCACCTTGTCACAAAGGACAGAAAACACACCTCCTTCCTTCGAAATGTTGCGATTCTGCCGCGTAATCGTGAGGCAAAAACTAGAATATTCCCCGACCTGCAGCCGCAAGCGGCCGCCATGAGAATCACGCTGCATGACGTCAAGGGGGTCTTGTAGAAAGATAGCCAGTTGTGCGAATACCTGCTTGATAAAAGGTAACCTTTCTATAAATCTCGTCGTTCCAACATAAATATAAATGCGTCGAAAACTTAGTATCATCGACAAAAATGTGATTATACGGAGTTCCAGTGGCGCCATCTATCCTAGGTCCACAAAACCGTCAGCTCTATCTGCTACTGCAAACAGCCGCCAGAAGCCGGAGGTAGAGGAAGACAGAGCCGAATAGTGATGGCCGGACCCGGATGAGACTTTCCTCCTTTCACCATATTATTCGCACTGCATCCGCCAGCGTGTTGTCACGCGGGCGTGAGCGGGTGAGTTCTCGCTGCACACTGACGGCTCTAGACAGAGAGCTTCACCGGAATCCCGTGAAACCCCGATTGACGTCATAGCACACGTGACTCGGAAGATGGTGAAGGAGTTGAGAGGTGCCGAAAACCTTAATCATTGTCCATTTTTAAAATAAATACTAGGACATGCAGGCAAAAGCGGTTTTTTGTTCTTTACTTCAGAAAGGTCGAGGCGCCAACTCCCAAATTTTGTAAGCAAAGCACTGAAACTGTTGCGCTGCTCTTTTAATATATGCACTTTGATTTGCGCCTGGTGAGTTCTCTCGGTCACAATTATTTTGTAATGTCATAATTAGCAACACATGGTATTTAAAGATAAAGTATATATGTATTCAACCACCTTACATTTTTTCTAATTTGCTCATTTCTCTTTTTTTTTTGTATTTAAGTGCTTTTCTAGGCTTGTTTCTTAAGTATTTTCTCATTTATGTAATCTTATCCAGTATTTTCCAGCCCTGGATTCTGCGACAGGTCCCCAATCTGACCCCTTAGCCAAAACGTTCGGAAATGCCTAATCTAGAGTTAAATTGGTACTCTACATCAACTTTTCAATAATTATAGTTAGCATGCTTCCTTCAACCCTGCTAGCATTAATAAAAAAATAAAAAAACTCGCGAAGTTTATGGCACAGCTTCGCAGCAGTCGAAGGGCAATTTGACCATAGTCTGTGACAGGTTAAGAGTGAAGTGGAAGCTCCTCTTTCCACTTGAGCAGAGCAAACGCTGGAGAAGAGGTCCCCTCCTTCCAGTGTTTGCTGTACTTGTGTTGAAACTTTACTATTAACCTGTCACCAACTATAGTAGAGTTTAACTGCTAACTTTGGGTTTTTAATGGGCATGATGCCACTAATGGCATGAATGCATGCAGGCATCCCTAATAGAGAACTGCACCTAGCTCCTCCAAAAAGTGATTTTTTTCTGATCCATAACAAGATTTGTTCTGCTCCCTAAATTGCTCCAAACTGGCTGGACCAGCACTGCAACTGTTGTTGCTCTTCTCTCTTTCAGACCAAGGCAAGTTCCCACAAGGAAGCTAGACATTTTAACCGGAACGGATAAAGAGCCTCAGTGGACAAACGGACACAAGGGGAAGACAGCTCTGAAGAAGTGGACAATTTGTGCGTGTTTTAGGTGTCTGTCGTTTTCTTGCGTTTTTCTACTGGGAGGAACATTTTGTGTGGAGGTACGAAAGAAGAAAAAAAAAAAAAAGAATGTTGTAAAGTGCGAATACCAAACAGTAGGTGCCTTCCCCTTTGACCATGTTCCCCTTTCCCGCCGCTTTCATTCTCTCCCCAGTGTTTGGCCTGAGATTTCTAGCTTGCCGCTCCAGCTACAAGAAAGAAACAATTTAGCGAGTGCAATAAATGGAAAGGAGACGTTGGCTTCTCGCATTCCTCCCGGGCACACTTGGGCGGTCTTTCCAGACTGTTTCTCCCCTTGTCGTGCCAAATGTTTGTTCACCGCTTGCAGTCGACAGAACGTGCTTCTGCCAGTCACGTTGGCCTTTGGTGCCTCCTTGCCTGGTTGGGCATTCTGTCCTCGGATGCGTTTGGCATTTTCGGTAGAGATGCGTCTATGTGGAACCAACCGCCTTGTGTCCCTCTTTTGATGATTTTGAGGTCTTCCTCCCTTGAGTTGTACGCCGCCGTGTTCTTAAAGTACTCAAACAGATCAACCAATGGGCAATAATTGTGGGGGTCATCTAGAAAATGGAGAGCCATTTTTTCTTGCATACGCTAGTTTTTATTTGAAAATATGAAACAAGCCAAAGTTTTAGATACCCCTCAACCATCCTTTGAGTGACGTCATGTGGGTGCCTCGGGCTTAGCAGCGATCGAGACAAAAGATGCATGGGGAAAGCTTGTAACCACCACATGGATATCGGGAAATAATGTCCTTTGCGATTACGCGGGGGAATCTCAGTATTTCAAGGGCGTGTTTTCTCTCAATTGTGCCGAGGTAATCGACATAAGAAGTGCAAGCTGAAAGATCTTTCGACGTTGAAATGGTTGCACTTCCCTTTCAAAGAGGTGCAGTAGAGCGAGGGTCGGCAACCGGTGCGCTACCAGAAACGCTCAAGGAAAATAGGTAGGATGGTTGTTTGTTTTGTTGCAAACTATAATTGGATGCATTAAATGTGAACAGGTTCTAGAGGTTTACCAGATAGAGTTTGCTGATTGTCTGATCCCCAAACAGACGCTGAAAAATGCATTTGCACCGGACGACTTGGTTTTGTTTTCTGCTGGCCTTCCTAAATTAAAGTTTGGAAATCTACAGTATGTATAAATCTCCGAACATACTCAGGAAAAATGGAGACCGTCGAGTCAAATGTGGCTCTTGTAAAACCTCCAGAATGAACTCTCTCAGTTACGAGTTTTAATCTTTTCAAGCGATTTTGGGTGCCCAGAATCTCACTGAGATAGGGCTCCAGCGATATTTGTGTCTGTGTCAAAAGAACATCTTTGCGTGTCAATTTCAGTGAGGTTTTTCTTTTTTTATTTCGATGATCCACCTCTATTTCTCGGCCCGTCTCCGCTCTACTACGATTCGGACGGGCAAAAGGTTGCCGACCCCCGCAGTTGAGGGTGGATGTTTGGCAATGGTGTCCCTGGAGGTAGACACAATTGTGCGTCCGAGACGGTTTTTGCAGCGTTGGAAACCAAGGAGTCAGGAACGCCACTGCTCTTTGTACCTTTGAGATTTGTTTCTAATGAGTTGGTACACTGGCAACTCGGCTCCACTTTTGCCCGCTTTTGCATGCAGGCTGCAGCAAACGTTTGGCTGCCCATCTTTCCTAGGTGCTCAGACTGCAAGTGTTTCTGCAGCCACCTTCCAAAGTGGGGCATTATTTGACAAGTGCCTGCCCCTTACGCAAAGAAGCCATAGCCAGTGTGCCGCTTTTGCAACCTCCGAGAATGTCTTTGTGCTCCTAAAACTGTGAGGGATAAAGGTAAATCTTTTCAGTAATCGTGTGCACTGTGCAGAAAGCCAAAACTAGTAGCTATGTTTCGCAGCAGCCACCAGCCAAAGAGTAAATAATGCCGATTTAAGTTCTCTGCAGGTTGCAGTTGACAGGGAATTGGTAACTGAACACCTCGTAGAAGAATGGATAGTTGGGCGTGTTAATGGGAATTAATCATAGGAAACGGTGCAAAAAACACAAGGACGAAGAAGAAACACATGGGACAAGCGCCGACTATCAACTAAAATATTTTAATATGAAAACAAAAACGATATTTGTAAGCCCCCGTCTACGTATTCTGAGACAATTCATAGCAGCGTGACGGCGAGTGTTAAACGCTATAAGAAGTGATATGATGCTAGCCCAAATCCAAAAATGCCACCTGACTGTTCAGCAGTGCCAAAGACTGTTAGCTGACCCAGGAGGCTCCTGCCTTTTTTTTTTATTTGGTATGCCTCTACTATCTCTCTAGACACTTGGTCCCTGTGCTTGAACAGAACTTCGGTGTCACTCAATCTTGGCTCACACTTACAGTCGCGGCAATGCATCGAAAGATGAGAGTATGCACATCCCTTCAACAAACTCTGGTGCTCTCTTATAGGGATGTTTACACAGTGCCCCGTTTGACCAATGTATACCTACCCACATGAGAAAGGTATCTTATATACCGCACCAACGGTACATGATACGAACTGTTTGCCATGCTTTACGGTGCAACTCTGACTCTTCGGTTTTTTCCTAACACTCCTTTCTATGGTGGGACAAATCTGGCTGGGCTTGGTTTGGCCGGAAATAACGACATTCACACGGGTTATAGGGGATCGTGGCAAGATACAGAGTGAGGGTCGTGTTTTCGGCCAAAAACAAGCTGAGCCAGATTTGCCCTACCATAGAAAGGAGTGTTAGGAAAAAACCGAAAAGTCAGAGTTGCACCGTAAAGCATGGCACACAGTTCATATCATGCACCGTCGGTGCGGTATTTGAGACACCTTTCTCATGGGGGTGGGTATATATTGGTCAAACGGGGTGCTGTTTAAACATCCGTTTAAGGGAGCACCAGAGTTCATTGAAGGGGTGTGCGTGCTCTCATTTTGCGATGCATTGTCGCGACTAAGTGTGAGCCAAGATCTGGATCGTCCAGCTGTTCCGGCGAATTGCTATCATAAAGGGGGAAAACAATCTGTAGTGTTGCTCTTATGCACTATTAACCATGGCTATGTTCCAAATCTACTCTAATGCATCACATGGCAGCACAATTGATTGTTGAAGTTTTTTCGCTCATTCCTGCTTGAAGGTTTCACTGATGATGTTCACACCATGGGAGACGAAACGCTTGATTAAATTGTTAATCCTGTTGAGTAAAGTCGGCACAGTTTTTTTATCATTAAATTTGCTACTAATATTTATACCTGCTCTTATTGAGGCACTTCCGACATTTAAACTCGGGAATTTTGACGTCTTTATCGCAATATGGCGATTGGATTAAAGATTATACCACTGGGCACGGGCTTGGGCTTACCCGAAAGCCCAGGCCTGGGATGGGCTCGGACTTTTGACTGTGGGCCCGGGCCGGGCTCGGGCCAGCATGTTGATTGGCCTGGTTCGGGCCAGCACGTTGATTGGCCTGGTTCGGGCTCGGGCCAGCTGTAATTGACTATGATGCTGACAGAGGCCATCGTAGAAATTGGCGTCTCAGTTATCTCAGCAACATCAACTCCAGAACCACTAGACAAGTACCCATGAACGTAGGCCCACCTTAAGACAGTGGACGGCAGCGTCGTTAATCATGAGGTGAGCTTCAGGTTAATCCCAGTGGCGTGATGTTTTTGCTTGTGGAGATAAATAGCGGCAAACCAAAAATAAACGGACATTGAAGCGCTCTGTCAGGAATTAAAAATGGGGGACTCGAAAACATTAACGCTAAACTATCTCAACCTAATTGATCATGAGAAACACTTAGCAGTCAGTACATTGGACAGACTGGGAGATGCGTCAACCACCGACTCAGAGAACATAACTTGGAAGCATCAAAGGCTTCAACTGAGTCGTATCACCCCATTGTCGTTCACAGCCGCACATGCGATGACTGTACACCTCATTTTTCTAATACTAATATACTGGGCGGGCACAATAACAGATTTGGGAGAGAAATCATCGAGTCATTTGCCATGGGGACTGTTAACAACAACATTTCTGCACCTTCATTATCATTGACAAAGACAGAGGTCGAATTCTTAACACCAGAGATGACTAGAATATTGACACCTCGTCGTGACGCTACAGCTTTTTAAACTTTTATATTTATAGTACAATTCCCTTTTTGGACTGCAAACAAGAATAATTCCGCATTATCACTGACAATGACCAAGGTTAATTCTAAGTAATCGAAAATAACTAGATTACTGATGCGCTTTTAAACTTTTCTTTTAGTGTATTCCCTTTCCTTTATAACTAGTATTTCCTTTCCCTCTTTGAGAACGTTGAGACCCTTGGGGGGCGGTTTTATCGTTGTGCCATTCTATGTTGTTGCTAAATGAAAGATGTCCTGTTCCCGTCCTCGTCCTCTCTGTTTTATACTTTCAAGTTTTGTATCTATTAACCAACACGCTCGTTTTCAACTGTTACAACATTGGGAAGCCAGAAGCCAAACTAAAGGCCCAAACTGCCAACAAGCGCGTAAAATACCTTTCAAAAAGGAACTTCCTTGCTCAACTACAAAGTGGAAAGCGCTGCCTGACACTTACTGTGCGTGAAACAAGGTGCAATCATAATTTCGGGAAGGTCATCCCTATTTCGTGTTTGTGTGTGCGCGCGCATTTTATGTGCTTTTTTTTAATGACTTCTATGGTGTTATTGATTATTGGATGTTATTCGGCACTACCGGCTTTTCTTTTCTGTTAATAAAAAGCATGCCCACGATAGAATGTGCACGTGATCTGCCGCCCCAGAACGAGCGCGTAGCCTCTGCTAGGGCTCAAGCAGGATACGTTCACATGGCAAAATGGAAGCCTGAAGTATCGCATTTTTTCGCCAACTCCGCCAAAGTTTTAAAGTCCCGACGTCGGAAGTCGGAGAGCTTTGGACCAATCGTGAAAGATGATAATAGGATTTTTGAGTCAGTGTTATTCTGTTTTTGACCCGGTTTTACTCTGATTTGCTCGGTTCTGGAGCGAAATTTATACAAAAACGAGAACGTTCCACTCCGAAACCAGATAAAACTGAATAAAACGGAGCAAAGCCTAATGTGAATACATAATCCAGTTGGTTCAATCGTTTACGCTATTGCTGTTACTGAAACATCCTGGAAAACAAAAGGACAGAATACACCGCTAAAACTGCAGAGTTGCGATGATACCTGAATTTCGTGGCTTGCCTATATATAATTATTCATGAATCTTGTGCATACTATGTGCACACACAA